GCTTCGCAGCAAGGTGGTTTGGCTCCCGTTTGGTTGCTAGAGGAGTGCGCAAAAATCTCCATTTCACGGGCCCCAAACCAGTAACTACTCTTAGGCCAGTTAAAAATGGCCTTTTTTAGCTAAACCAAAAAATTAATACAGTCCAAATAACTCGATTCATGTGATTTACAATGCAGTCAGAAACACAGGAGCCTCAAACATCACACCCCATGCTGTTAACGACAACTACAAGACACTTCAAAACGAACCAAAAGTCTCGGCACACAGATGTGGTTTACAGGGGATGCCATCGATCAGACAGGCCAGCTCCCTACTGAACTTTGCCTCATTTGCCTTCATTTTCCTTCTTGTACCCCCTTGATTAAATGTAACCCAATAAATAAACCCACCAATCTCTCTCCTGTGCCAAATCACCTTAAAATGAACCCCTTGGGTAACAAAGGTCCTGAAAAAAAAAATCAGTTTTTTCCAGCCACACGAGCCCCAAACAACCCAAAGCAAGCCAGGTGTGTGCATCCCTCTGCTTCCTGCGGCTCTCCATGCAGGCACACCATCCCCTGGACCTGCAGGTAATGCCAGGGTTTGCTCCCAAGAGCTCGGACCTTCCTATGCAGCCCCTCTTCTGTCAGCCCCTGCCCCCAGCCAGCCTCCTCCCCAAAGCCTACCCCTCCTCGCCTGGAGGGCAAAAACCTCATCTGCTGCAAGCGGGACACCTCTACAGAGAGCAACAAGGTCTGACTGCCAGTCTGAAAGCTTCAAAGGAAACAAACTAAACCACCTAAGGCCCAGTCAATAGAAAATAGAAGTTTGTACTTAACCATCTTTCTGTGGTTTGCTGGGCCCCAATGTCCATGGGCAGAAGCCTCAGAAGCAACTTCAGACACTGTTCCAGCTCCCGCAGCCAGGGTGCAGATGTTCCCATTGCTGAAGGAAGGGCTGTGGTCAACCTTGGGGCTTGGAGGCCCTTTTCTGATGCCTGCTGAAATGGGACACCTGTATCTCCAATAGGTAAATATTTTTAGACAGATTTTCTGTTGAGACCCAAACCAAAAATACTGGTATACTTTTTTCTTCCCTCTTCATACCGGTGCTGTTCATACAACTGCTGTTCTCCAAATCTGTGTGCAAGCACCATGGGGATGCTAATGTCACATACTCCACTTCTGCTAGTGATGCCTCCTTTTTTAACCTATTCTGCCTGAAAATACTCGTCTCTTTGCGGAGAGCTGCCGCGCAGGGAAGCACAACTGTCCCCAACAGCTCTCACTGGTACCCTGCAGGGATTGAACCAGCAGCATGCATGGGGCGACTGCCTGTGCCACCAGCATCGCACGAACATAAGAGCATTTTGAAATTAATTTGGCTAATAAAACTCTGTCCTCACACATGCTCCCCATGCAGTGAAATGGTTTTGCTTGGAGCTCCATCGCCTCAAGACGTGTGGGTCAGTAGCCTTTTCTTTTGTAAGGCCTACATAGAAACATTTCCACTTAAATATCACATCCCTACATATTTCTCATGCTTCTCACACAATGGCCTGAAAGCTTAAGACAGTTTTTGTTTTCAGGAAAAGTAGTGGCGAGCCACAAGAACACAATTTTGGAGAATATGGAAACCTCCTGAAAACTGGTTTCAGAAAACTGAAAGTAGCCAACATAACCTATGAAAATGAGATTGGCCAGTGTTTACAGAGATACGGCTATATCAAGCCAAGTGCTGTAAACAC